ATTCATGGAAGACAGCTTTTGTCCACCCGATCCCTAAAAAAGGCGACCGCTCAGACCCGTCCAACTATAGGCCTATCGCGATCACCTCCTTGTTCTCCAAAATAATGGAATCCATTATTAACTGCCAGCTCATCCGGTACCTTGAGGATCACCAGCTGATTAGTGACCGCCAATACGGTTTTCGTCGGTGTCGATCAGCTGGTGATCTTCTTGTCTACCTGACCCATAGATGGGCGGAGGCAGTAGAGTCCAAGGGGGAGGCGTTGGCCGTTAGTCTGGACATTGCGAAGGCCTTTGATCGGGTTTGGCACAAAGCGCTTCTTTCAAAGCTGCCTTCCTATGGGCTTCCCGAGAAATTGTGCAATTGGATCACCAGCTTTCTTGCAGATCGGAGCATCAAGGTCGTTGTAGACGGTGCATGTTCTGACTACAAGCCTATTAACGCTGGTGTTCCACAAGGCTGTGTGCTATCACCAACGCTGTTTCTTCTGCATATCAATGATATGTTGCTAACTGGTAACATTCATTGCTATGCGGATGACAGCACTGGTGATGCTCTATACACCGGCCGGGCCAATATTTCTCGGGAAAACGTCGCCGAGTACCGGAACAAACTTGTGTCTGAAGTCGAGTCTTTGCTGGACAAAGTCTCGGATTGGGGGCGACTAAATCTAGTCCAGTTTAATCCTCAGAAGACACAAATTTGCGCGTTTACCGCTAAAAAGAACCCCTTTGTCGTATCTCCTCAGTTTCAAGGCACTCCCCTTCTTGCCTCAGCCAGTATCGGTATCCTCGGAGTCGACATATCGAGTGACGTGCAGTTTCGTGGTCACTTGGAAGAGAAGGCCAAATTGGCCTCTAAAAAGCTTGGCGTGCTCAGCAGAGCGGGACAGTATTTCATGCCGGCACACCGCCTGCAACTTTACAAGGCGCAGGTTCGGCCTCACATGGAATACTGTTCCCATCTCTGGGCAGGGGCTCCCCAGTGCCAGCTCCTTCCACTTGACCGCATCCAGCGCAGAGCGGCTCGAATCGTCGACGACCGAGCCCTTTCCGATCGGCTCGATTCATTGGCACTGCGAAGAGATGTTGCATCTCTTTGCATTTTCTTTCGCATCTACCATGGGGAGTGCTCTGAGGAATTGTTCGGATTAATCCCAGCCGCCAAATTTCACGAACGCACATCGCGGCAGAACTCCCGATACCATCCACACCATCTGGATGATTGGCGGTCCACCACTGTGCGATTTAGAAGATGTTTTCTTCCTCGCACAACTTCCTTGTGGAATAGTTTACCACCAGGGATTTTTCCGGACCGATACGACTTAGGGACCTTCAAGAAAAGAGCCTACTCCTTTTTAAAAGGCCGGCAACGCATCTGCAATTCCCCTGGTGTTGCGGTTGTTCATGGGCGGCGGTAGTCACTTACCATCAGGTGAGCCGCATGCTCGTTTGCCCCCTCCTATAAAAAAAAAAAAAATGGTAAGTATCTGACGCACCTGAGATTTGCGAACGATCTGGTGCTGCTGACTGAAGATCACAAAGAACTACAATACATGTTGGAAACTCTCAATGAGTACAGTAACTCAGTTGGCTTAGAAATCAACATCGAAAAAACTAAGGTTATGACAAATGTAACAAAACTACCAGTCACACTGCAATCAAGAAACGTTGAATATGTAGATGAGTACACTTATCTTGGATATCAAATCTCATTTAGCAATGGAATGGACAAAGAGATCAATAGAAAAATAACGAACACATGGAAAAAATACTGGAGTATGAGAGATATATTTAAGGGTACCCTCCCCAATAAACTGAAAACTAAAGCTATGGAAGTATGTCTAACTCCATGTTTGACATACGCCTGTCAAACATGGACACTTACAAAGAAACAACTCAACAGAATAGAAACCACACAGAGAGCAATTGAGAGAAGCTATCTAGGGATCAAACTAAAAGATCGTATAAAAAACTCAGAGATAAGACTTCGCACTCAAGCAAAGAATATAAAAAAGATTCTGCTTAAATCTAAATGGAAATGGGCAGGACATCTTCAAAGACTTGAGGACGATAGATGGACAAAAATAACAACTAACTGGTACCCACTGGGAAGGAAGAGAAAAAAAGGACGACCATTCAAAAGATGGGACGATCCCATAGTTAAAGTAGCAGGGAGAGTGTGGACAAGGTTGGCTAGAGACCGAGCCAATTGGAAAGTCTTGGAGGAGGCTTTTACCGCTTAGCGGTCCTTACATAGAATAGAATAATAGTCTTAATAATTGTAGCATATTACTAAGCACTAAGGCAACAGTAGTGGTGGTATAGATGTTTCATATGTCATCATCATCATCATCATTACAGCCCTTCACAAGTCCACTGCTGAACATAGGCCTCCCCCAAAGAATGCCACAAAACACGGTCCTGAGCCACCTGCATCCATCGACTTCCTGCATGTCTTACCAGGTCGTCACTCCATCTCGTGGGGGGACGCCCTACACTTCGCCTACCGGTACGAGGCTGCCACTCGAGAACCTTTCTTCCCCATCGGTTGTCGGTTCTTCGAGCTATATGGCCGGCCCACTGCCACTTCAGCTTACTAATCCGTTGGGCTATGTCGGTCACTCTGGTTCTACTGCGGATATCCTCATTCCTAAGTTTATCACGCAGAGAAACTCCGAGCATAGCCCTCTCCATAGCTCGTTGAGCGACCTTGAGCTTCCTCATACGTTTCATATGTGGTATGATAAAATTGTATAACTATTGTTAGACAAATGTTACAAATGTTGACAAATGTAGAACAGATTTAGACATAGAAAGTATGATTTTGCAAACAGATGCGTACAATTGGAAGCAAAAAGATGTAAGAATTAATAAATTGGTAAATGATTATTAAATCAACTTGTGTTTATTGAACTGTCATTAACGTTCCATCATACATTTGCCATAACTACTAAAACTGTACAACATCACCTATACTGTTTGCTAAAACTAAACATATAAGTATTAATTTTGTGCATGTTAGTCTTAAGCACCTAAATTAGAAATGTACTGCTGATTGTGTATTACTTAAACAAAATGTAAAAGCGAAATGTAAAGTAAGGAAACAATAAAAGCTATTTTATTTTTTTTTATTTTATTTTTTTAGCTAACAAGTTACAATAAAATAAATGAGTTTTGGTTCCACGGAGACCACGTGTTTTGGTAATATATATTAAGAGCTGAGAATTTTATAGCTTTTGGCCAGGACTTTTATAATATCAATACCAAGAACAAACAAGTATTTATTTAAGTGTTTGAATAGTGTCCATATCCTTTATAGTTATACAGTTCGCCTTGTCACTTTTCCTCATGTAAATACGGCCATTTTTAATCCAAACGTATTTATATCCCTTTTCTTTTGCAGCGGATCTGGCGGATCTGTTTGTCCGTGATAGATGATCAGTAATGAATATAGGTGTTTTCGATCCTTCGTATCCAAGATGAGAGCTGTTGAGTTTATCGTGAACAGGTTTCGGTTTGTTAAAGTTTATAGCTGCGGTCATGAACAAATTTCTGGATTGAATGGTGTTTAATTGAGCAACGATCGATCTGGGTCTTGTGCTTCCAGGATTTAATTTAGCTATGCGAGTACAATGGGAAATATTGTCCCTGGAAATATTACAGTTAATGACTTTGCCACTGTTGATTATAATCTCAACAATATTTTCATTTTTCTTCTCCGGGATGCATTGGATTTCCACATTGTTTGAGCGTGCATTTTGGTCCAGCATGTTAAGTCATGTGCATAAGTCTTTTACTGTGTTTTTAAGACTCAAGTTTTCTACCTTTAGATCAGACAGAGTTTTTTTAACTTCGGCTTGCTCTTTAAGGACTTCCTCAAATTTGCTGTTCATGAAGTTCATTGAGTCTTTAATATCCTTCATTTCATTCATAACGGCTCTTAATTCAGTACTGAATAATTGATGTTGCAGAAGTGAACGGCAGGGTCGGGAAGGGACGCCCTAGACGAAGGTTTATCGACCAAATCGGCGATACATTAAAAATGGGCCAGATTAGGAGTACCCTTAACCGACGAGCGTGTATGCGTAGATATATGGATGTAAAAGAGGCGAGAGAGGTGTGTCAGGATCGCGCCAAATGGAAGTCCGTAGTCTCTGCCTACCCCTCTGGGTGACAGGCGTGAGTGTTTATGTATGTATGTATGTATGAATAATTGAAGGGATGTTCTTTATACCTGCTATAAAATCTGTCAAATATTTCACCTCAATCCAAATGGCGCCGCCCTAGTGGCAGAAAAAGTCGTGGATGCCCCTAATTGACATTTAAATGAATGGATGATGAAACATAAAAGAACGCGCAAAGTACGGCTGACTGGTGGTCACAAGGGCGCGTCTAGAGTTAGTTTTCGTATAACACTGAGATGCATTGCCTATTTAATTAGCTGGATCCATCCGTTTCCATCACGGCATAACCAGGCAGAGAGATTTCGCTACATCGTGTGTTACAAAATATTTGATGATGCAGACAGCGAACTACTGCGACGTGAGATTTCAACTCATCAAATGGAGCGAATGTGGGTGGGATATGGCTTCACAAGGTGCAGAGCAGCCACAAACAGATAAGGATGGTGCCGTGAACCTCCTAGCAGCAATGAATTCCGACGATAAAGGAATGGTCGCTTACGAAATAGCGTACTGAGATGATATTTGGCTAAGGTGCCACGCTTGCCAGCCACAGGTTGTTAATATTTTTATTTAGTTGTTATCAGGAAAATGCTGCTGCCCTTCTCCATGATTAGTTTCCTTCCGACGCCTCTTACGTCACTCACGGGACGATATGGGGTAGAATATATACTTACCACCACTACACTTAATAACACAGATTTATCAAATTGTTATTAACTTATGATTCTACTAGTTAACGATGTAACAAGTCCAATAAATTATTTTCTTTTAATTTTTTTCTTTAAAAAAACGAAAAAATAAACTATCACATACCGCCTCCTGACGTTGCGTGGTGTAGAGTTCAAGATCAAAGTACTGTGGAATAGCCACCAGGTTTGCAAGTTTCTCAGGGTCAGCACCAAACTTGTCCAATAATGCCGGTAGTGTCACCATGAAGTGCGCTGTCATCTTCGCGCGGTCATCGCTCACCATCTGTAGAAATGCAAAAATTTACACAATTTGGCCTTCTCTTATGCACTAGCCGTGGCCGCTACTTCGTTCGCATAGAATAATTTCTAGTAAGTACTTTATGTTTATACTTCCTTATTTGAATCGGATTTTGTTCACAATTTCGTGAGTTTTCATTTTTGAGCGGAACCTTTCTTTCTCTAAAATAAAAGTAGCCTTAATTTACTCCTTATACCATGAGCTATCCTGCCAGTGAAAGTCCCGTCAAAATTGATTAAGCCATTTCGGAAATACTGGCTTATTTCCGTTCTTATAACAAAAAGACAGACAGACAGACAGATAAGACAGCCAAAAATGTTAAAAATTGCTTTTTGTTATAAGAACCCATATTTTGTTTCATATGCATTTAGTAAAAAGCTGTTATTTTCACATGTAACCCAAAAACAGACACTTCAATTTTATTTATTTGTATAGATTCACTTCTTGTTTATTCAATCCACAAAATTGTAAATGGTTACTGCAGTCCATAGAAACTTTTTTTTTTATAAAACTGAAGTGACAAACGAACTTACATTCCAGCTGATGGTAACAGGTTACTACAGTTAGAGGCGTTCCATCTTAGTCCTCACGGGTGACAACGCATCTCCATTTTGATTCGCAAACGAGGATAGATGTAGATGTTTATAGCCCACAGCAACCACTTACGATCAGGTGGACTGTGTGCTCGTTTGTCACCCTATCCTATAAAAAAAACAGTCCATGGACACCCGCAGCCAACTTAAACAAAGAAGGCTACAGATGCGCTGTTGACTCTAGAGGATTGAAGTGGAATTGACAGCTCCATAACGCAGTAACTTCGCAATGAGTTGCAGCGCTAAGGGCCGCGAGAACAAGTATTTGTATGGCCTACAAATAATTGTTCAGGGTCAGGATAAACCCCCACGATACAGGAGAAAACCCTAGTTAGAGGTAACGTTTAAAAAAAAATAAGTCACTAAGGGAATGTCTCACGGCCTGTAATTACACCGGCTGTATATATACCCTTCAGACAGAAGACGGTAGTGCACGAAGTGTTATTTTGCGGCAGGAATAGGTAAGAGGGTGGTACCTACAAAACAGATTTTAGTCAGAATAGGAGACCTACCACATATTAACCTGCAAGCACAGAATAAATAATAGTACTACGTACAGTAATTGCACTCCTTTGATATTGACTGCTTGCCGACGTTTTAATAACCTACATAATTATTATTAATCAGATAAATCGCGCACGCAACCTAAATAAAACTTTATCGTTGCGCGCGAGTGTCCGTATTACTTTGTATCTTTTCCCTTTCCTACGTCACTACGGACTTTCCGTGGTTACTAAGGGGTGTTAATAAAGAGTAAAAAAATTATTGCGAAATGGTAAGTTACTCAGGTAATGTACCCATTCTGACTATGATCGACTATATTTTCGCTATTATGTGAGTTCTGTGATACCCAACGCATGCAACTTGCAAGGCCACTCGTCGGGAATCGCGATGCTTGGCTCGGAAGAAATATGTAGATAGTGTAAACAACAAATAAACCCGAAAAACGATTCCTAACAGAAATGTGATCGTATTCTACTTAGTTAAAAATCTTCTAAACAAAGTTTTAATTTAGTATTTTGTGTTATATAACTTAAAATATTTTAATTACAAAAGGACAAGTATAGGTATGTAAGTAGGTACTTGGATAGTGAATTAAATTTCAAATAAGTTTTGTAATAAAGTACTTAGGTATTACTTCTGTAGTTAAATTATTATTTAATGCTTTTTTCGCTATAAGTATGGAAATAAATTTTTATTTAGCGCTTATTTCTCGCATTTGCTTGCAGCAATAACTGAGAACTTAATTATTATCTTAATCATTAGGTGATAGCCCACTTGGATGTCAATGTTTCATCACATACTCTGCTAAAAATGTCAATGTACGAGGGTGACACTGAAAATTCTTAGAAAATCAAAAACTGAACAAACTAGCAAGTTATTAGTTTTATTATATCTTTTCAAAATATTGTCCATTTACATCAATACATCGCTGCATCCGATGGAACCACTGAGAAAAGCACTTAGCCCAGTCGTCCTTAGGGGTCTCTTCGACGGCATTTTGAAACGCAGCCACTGCTTCCTCGGCGTCCATAAAACGTATTCCTCGAAGTTTTTCTATTATTTTCGGAAATAAATAAAAATCGCAAGGTCGAGACTATAGGGTGGGTGACCCAGTAATTCCACGTCTGACGTCGCCAAGTAGTCGATTGTTTGCTTGGCGGTGTGCGAGGTCGTTTCTCCCGAACTTTTTCCAAGACAAGTGGCAAACAATTGTTGATGTACCACTCTGCAGTAACTGTTTTTCGATCCTCTATAACAATTGTTGCGTAATGACCTGTCCTTCTGAAGAACGAGGCTACTATCTTTTTTCCCCAGCTTCGACCTCTCTTTACTTTAGTTGGCAACTCCTCGAAAGGAAACACCCAGACAGCAGACTGTTTCTTAATTTCAGGATCATATAACAATAAATCCACCTTTCGTCACCTATAAGTATGTCGAACACCGCATTTGAGTCACCTTCGTTAAATCTTTGAACCATTTCACGACACCAATCAATCAGCACGACGGAGTTTTTGGGCCTCTGTCAAATTGTGAAATGTGAGTGAAATGTGAGGTATCCACCGGGCACAAAGCTTCCTTACCGCTAAATATTCATGGATGATTTTGTGCACTTGATTCATACCGATGCCTAAGCTTGTCCGAAACTGCTGATAAGTCACTCTTTTGTCAGTCTCTATCATACGCCGCAGTACACTGATGTTGTCTTCAGTCGTCGCCGTAGAAGGCCGACCCTCACGCAGATTATCGGTGAGATTAGTGCAACCACGTTTAAACTCATTAAACCAGTTGTAAACAGTGGCACGAGATGGGGCTTCATCGTGAAAGACCAATCGAAGTCTATCATAACTTCCTTGTTGACATAAATGCCAACGAAAGTCATAAAAAATCATTGTACGAAAATTTTCTCGCGTTAAATTCATGCTGACGTCACACAGACAATTATCAATTTGCCGCCAAATCGTAAAAAAATTACAAATTAATAAAATACGTACACAATAATATTAGCAGAATTCCATTTTCAAAACTTATTTCTTCAGAACTTATAGTTTTATTATATCGTATACAAGTGGCCAGTTCTAAAAACTTCAGTGTCGCCCTCATAGCAGTTTGAAAAAAAAATTGTGCTTTTTTTCGCATGTGCTTGCAGCACTAATTGAACATTAATTTATTGTCGTATATCATTAGGTGATAACCCACTCTGATGTCAATATTTTCATTACATACTTTGCTAAAGATCAAAGTAGCAGTTATGATATTAAAAAGAAAAAATACATATTTTTCCAAACTTTTTTGCGTATATACCTAGTCAGGTCATTATTGTCACACAGTAAAAACTTTTCTTTTAGAATGCTGGCCACAAAAAAGTTTATTGAATTCTAATTTCGAATTGTTCATGAAAATAAAACTGTATACTTTTTAGAATTTTACTCATTTTTAAATATGGAGTGGACGCTTAAAGAAGACCGTATTGCAGTTATTGCGTTGCATCGTTGCGGTTACGCGCCAATTCAAATTTTTGACATACTGAAAAATTTGAATATAACCAAAAGATTCGTTTATCGTACCATCAAACGATACAATGAAGACTCTAGTGTAGATGACAGGTCAAGAAGTGGTCGCCCTCGGTCTATTAGGACTCCAGCAGTGATAAAAGCTGTGAAGGCGCGAATTCAAAGAAATCCCAAACGTAAGCAGAAACTGTTGGCCCTTCAGATGGGGTTAATCAGAACCACGGTGAAAACGGTGTTAAATGAAGACTTAGGGCTTCGGGCATATCGAAGAAAAACAGGACATCGTCTGAATGCTCGTCTAATGGACCTGAGACTGAAGAGATGCCGCGCTTTGTTGAAACGGTACGCGGGAAAAAAATATCGAGAAATTCTTTTTTCGGATGAAAAAATTTTTACCGTAGAAAAGAGCTACAACAAACAAAATGATAAGGTGTACGCACACAGTAGTGAAGAAGCGAGCAACCGTATTCCGCGTGTCCAATGAGGTCATTTTCCATCCTCGCTCATGGTATGATTGGGAGTTTCTTATTGGGGCTTAACAGAGGTACATTTTTGTGAGAAAGGTCTAAAAACGAATGCAGTTGTGTATCAAAATACAGTCCTGACGAACCTTGTGGAACCTGTTTCTCATACCATGTTCAATAACAGGCACTAGATATTGCAACAAGATTCGGCGCCAGCTCATAGAGCGAAGAGCACACAAGACTGGCTGGCGGCGCGTCAAATCCACTTCATCCGGCACGAAGACTGGCCCTCCTCCAGTCCGGATTTGAATCCGTTAGATTACAAGATATGGCAACACTTGGAGGAAAAGGCGTGCTCAAAGCCTCATCCCAATTTGGAGTCACTCAAGACATCCTTGATTAAGGCAGCCGCCGATATTGACATGGACCTCGTTCGTGCTGCGATAGACGACTGGCCGCGCAGATTGAAGGCATGTATTCAAAATCACGGAGGTCATTTTGAATAAACTTTAGTGTCATAAGAATCTATGTTTTGTTAAGTTCATTTTGGTATATAAATGGTTACATAATGAATAAACTTGTTTCAATTATTTTATATTAAACACGTGACAGAATTTATGACCTGACTAGGTATATATATATCGACCGCACTAAATGAGCACTAAATTATTGATGCTTCTATTTGGTGCTGCTTAAGTGCTAACTGCTAGCTTAATTCAAGCTATTTTGGCGTAAAATTCAAGGCAAGAGTGAATAGGCTTTTACTACGCAAAGACAGTGCGATTTACCACCTAAAGCGCGGCACCCACCTAAGTAACGTAACGCGTGATCTGACGCGTGATTTGACGCGTAACTTGTCACTCGCCTCAACATTCAAAGGGATTGTATGTAGCAGCGCCCATTAGCGTGGCGTGACGCCGCATGACGTGACGTGCCATTCAGCTTGCTACTAGTGACGCATCGAAGTGGCGCGTAACACGTAACTTGCAGTGACTTGTCTATACAAAATGAAAGACGACCTAGCTTTTTTTCTTTTCATGAAAGGCCATGTATACAATATGATTGTTCTAGACCCGATTACATTAACAGGAATTCGCAAGATACTTCTTGCAACTTATAGTGACTTGCCTATGCAAAATATAATTATAATTCCTTCATAGCATTGAAAGTCCCACCAATTTTCAATTTTTTTCCTCAAAGCATGTACCCGAAATCTTTTGCTGGCACTTGGAATGTTTGAAATCTGTAGCATAGCAAGGGTATGTTTATCTTCTTCAGACGACATTTTGGCTCAAACTGAATTCTGCGATATGCTATTGTTGCACAGGTTGGCGCAAGCAGTGTCAACCGTGGTCACGTCATAGTATCGTCAGAATCATGCGACAAGCCATGTCGAAATCATGTAGCTTAGGTGGGCGCCGCGGCTAAGGCAGCATTACCACCAGGTGGAATTGTGGTCAAGCACTGGCTTATAATAAGTAAAAAAAATATATAAATAAACCAGCGGGCTCGGCATACATTGTCCTGCCCCGAAAATTAAAAACCTAGAACTAGATGGCAGCGCCACCTCCGGGTCCAATTGTAAATCTAAGCCATGCAGGTACCACTCAAATATACACAAGAAAACCTCATCAAAATTGGTCCAACGGCTTAATAACAGTTCAGTGACAAACACACGTACAGAAAAATTAAATTATATAAAGACAATCAGTCTCAATTTTTTTCATTCAAAACAAGTTATAGGATCTAAACTAGCAGGGACCAGGGTGAAAGACGTGAGGCTCTGGCATAACCAGAATTGCTACAGGCTGATGATGAGCGAATGTAAGGGAGATGTAACTTCTTTGAATTCCACCCTAACCTAACCTATACGAGGTGTACACCGTTAATTAACAAATCAACTTCTAGTAGCCAAAACTGGTTTATAGACGGGCTCTGCGGCCGTAATACATTGCACACTAAGTTGAGGTCACTTTTCCGTAACTCTAGTTCGAGTTCGCAATTAACAACTGTGACACAGTCTTTATTCTGAATTGCCAGTCTAACAGTATACATAGGAGTCTTTGTCGTCATGGTCTAGGGTGGAAGGCGTGAGGATCGGGTATAAGCAGTATTGCTTGTACCAGACAAACTGATAATGGGCATATAAGGGGGATGTAGCTTGTCCAAATTTCAACGTTACTTGTACGAGGTAAGCTTGTGTGAGTAATTTTGTAGTTTTGCATTGCGCGTCATATAACCCGACCGCGTACTGTAGCATTACACATGACACATAATTCGACCAAATTAAGCATGCGTATTATTCATGTAATAAGGATTACGTTTTATTAACACTGTGGACTGCCTAGTAAGTGATGTTTAAAATTATGACTCTCGCTCTTTATGACACTATTGACAGTTATTTTTACCCTTTTAATTGAATTGTTCTCTAGATTCGGGTTAATTATGAAGGAAAATCGACTTTATGTTTATGATAACAAAAGGAAGTGTATATTACGGCGCAGAGAGTAGCGGGGAAAAATTGGGTTTGGCGATTGTCACATTACATTATAATATAACGTGAAACACGTGGTAGAGCCATGCTGTAGCTATATTACGGTTGTAGCACGAATGGATCGACTGGATCGGGGTAGGACCATGATCTTATAGAATACCAGCGTAAAATAACAGTTTAATGTTTCTGTTTCTTATAGTGAGTGTAGAGAACCGAAGACCTTTTTTACTGGAAACGAGGGAATGTTATCTTACTCCTCCGTATCTGTATTTTGATTCTTAATCGAGGATAAATATAGATGTGTGTGGGTCACAGTATCCACTTATCATCAAGTTGACTCTGTGCTTGTTTGTCACCTTTATTGTAAAAAGAAAATAATAATTTAAAATTTGTACAGCTGAGTCAATATAAGTTATTAAGAATAACTCAAAAACTATTGGTCTGACCTTGATCAAATTGATATGGGACCACATGTGAAGTACTAGTTTTCAAATAAAAAAATAATAATCAAAATCGGTTAACTCAGTAAAAAGTTATGAGGTAACACACATAAAAAAATATACAGTCGAATTGAGTATCGTCTCCTTTTTGAAGTCGGCAGAAAAAGAAAAGAGAAAAAACCTGTTGAGGAAATGTAAGGGACATGTAGCTTGTTCAATTTCCAAGATAAGGAACAGTAATCAAGAAGCAAGCATCATCGTGTGTGCTGGAGTGGCGGCTGGCGCGTACCTTGGCCTGGTCCTTGGAGAGCGGCTGGTGGTGCTTGCGCGCGGCGCCGCGGCCCACGGGCGGCTCGCCCGTGCTGGCCTGCCGCACGCAGCACACCATCAGCTCGATCAGCGACGACTCCTGCGCACGACCACGTCATCACCATCATTACTCAATTATACTTCTTTACCCATCACTAAGTATTATGTAATAATCAATATTCAATAAAACAATCATTCTATTCTATTCTATTCTATATATAACAATATAACAATATTGTTGATGTTAATTTTGATTTCACAGTTGTATAAGAATTTATCTAAATACTTCAAAAATTGCGGAAACGCGGATCGTGTACTTAATTTTTAATTACTAATGTAAAATACACACATACGAACACATGTAAGCACGCGGTCGCACGTACTGATCATAAGGTCTTGAGTTCAAATACTGGGTCAGACCAAAATCAATTATTGGGTGATCCGTCAAAAAATAGTAGTCCAGAGTAAGGAATTTGGCGATGTCTCACTCCCGCTCCCGTACCTCGGTAAAGCACTTATTAAAGTTGGTCCTGCGCTTAAAATCTCTCTCCCGTCGTGTCGGTTTACCATCCCAGCGGACTATGAGAGTGAACAAACAGAGAGTACACATGTGCTTGATCATACACTCAAATGCTACAATTCTGTCCTACCCAAATGACTAATCTCCATCGAGGCTGACCGCCATGACCGAAATCCGATTTCGGGAACATTATTACTATACACCTTACTATGTAAAGCCACACTACAGCTATATTATAGTTGTGGCACGAATGAATCAGCTCCACCGGGTTAGGTCCACGCTCTCACAGAATACCAGCATAAAATAACAGCTTAATGCTGTTGTGTTTCGTATGATCAGTATACAAAACTGGAATAGTATATTTCATTACGAGTGCGAAAAGCCTGTCATTGCAAAGAGTTCCAACAAATGGTCTACCAGAGCCGAGACGCAGCCGAAGGTGAGAGTTGACAGTCGCAACAAGTTGCAATGACGATTTCGCACGTGTACTGAACAACTATTTTTAATACAGTTGCGAAAAAATGAAGTAATTTAATAAAGAACATTTTTGGAAAATGGCGCCAACCGTAAAAGAATATAAGAGATTTTTTTTTTGTTTTCTTCACCCATTCTGGGTAGGCAAAGGGAACTATGCCCATACAGCCAAGTCTTCAGTAGAATTATTTTATTGATATGAAATGAAAATTAAATTTAATGAGATGAGATGAAATGAAATGAAACCTAACCTGACTCTAAACTAATTGATTCAAATCATTAAATCTGATATTGAAACAAATTAGTAGCTTCTTTTTAGAAATATTTGCTTGAATCATAAAAACTTCTATGATTTTTTTTTAGTAAAAACTTCGTGGTTGGTTTTTTCTTTTTAGTAGACATTATTTTGACAATTGGGAAAGAGAACGCACGAGTTCGGAAAAGGTAAAGAAAAAGCACGAGTATGTAATAGTCCACATCCCGAACGCTATACGTCCCTGCAATACGCCACTTTTTGAGCAACTGTATTAAAAACACCTTTTACTTGAAACAAGGCATTCCATCCTAGATCTCGTGGGTGACAACACAACTGCATTTTGATTTTTAGTTGAGAATAAACGTCAGATTGACTGTGTATTCTTATTATATAAAAACAACTACCATGTCACTACCAACTCCAGTAATCCCGGCAAATGTCAGCCTCATGTCATTCACATGACATATTTTATTTTTTAAATGTCCGTTTTTATATTAACATTTCTATAGAGTAAAATATGTTAATATTTAAACTTAAACAGACTTCTTATAAACACTGGTATGTTATTAATTCGTTATACCAAAAACTATTGTTTTTTTTTTATTTATGTAAAACCATTTATATATTTACTAAATAAATAAATAAAAATATACATTTACACAACTTGCCCTTAGCTTTAGTAATCCTAAACTTAAGAAATGAAGGCCAAATAATACAGGTACCCATCATATTCAAGCCCTCGTCAGAGGCAAGAAGAAGGCAGTTGGTAAAAGGGTAATATTGGTAAAGCTGTAAATATGTGGATAGTATTCTCACGACCCTTTCAATGTGCAACAAATGCAATACAAAAGAAGATTAGACTTCCATTAACAAGTATTCTTGTAAATTATATTAAATATCCATTGGAAGTTGCCAAACTAGGAAAAAAATATATATTCAATATTTCTTATATTCTAGCCTCTTCTCTTTGTTATTTAGCCGAAAGTGTACACCACACATCACAATGCTCCAATGTGTGTTGGTGAACTTACGGCATAAACGCATGTTTTCAGGTGATTTTAAACAATTATCCTCTAAGCCCACTTCAACCCTATTATATAATACGTCAATTGAAGTATTTATTTCCTCACTATAATCTATACATCTTCATTCAATTACTCCTTTAATAATTACATAAAATAAATAATCGTACCTGTCTATTATCAAGTGCCTCCTCTCCAGGCCCTGGCTCCTCCAGCAGCAAGTCTGTCATGCATTCCCAGTCCTTCATCATTGGATTGGAATCAATCAATGAATCCACAAGGTAAGCTCCATGCTCATGCAACTGTGAACAACATCATTATCACTTGAATATCTTGATACGTGTTTTTTTTTTTTAAGTAAAGGGTTTACCTGATAATAGATATTTATTATGGTTAAGCAACTTAGTTTAAGTTTAAGAATTATATACTATACAATATGTCTTCAATATTCATTTATGAGCACCAGAAGGAATTTATAGTACAGGCTTGAAGGCTGAATATATGAGCATAAGCCCAGGCTGTGGATAGCAATAGATGCTAGGAAGGTAAATCACTTCATCCGAATACTAAGATGCTCTCTGTGTTTAAATAAGGTATGTAAAGTTAAGTGTGACCTTAAAATGGATTAAAGATCCAAGCAAAACAACATAGTTAGTAAATCAGCACAAGGAGGATGAGCACTGTAGATCCTTTTTACTGGAAACGAGGCATTATATTTTAGTTTTTAGGGTGACAATGCATATTCATTTTGATTCTTAATGGAGGATACATGTTTATGGACCACAGCAACCACTTACTATCAGCTCATTTGTCACTCTTATCTTATAAAAAAAAAACTTGACTATGGAAAGACTATTCCTTTAGACAATACTAAAGTAAAATAGCAGTTTACTGTAGTTGTAACAAGACATTCTGTCTTAGTTCTCAGGGGAATAAGGTATTTACAATTTCATTCGTAATTGAGAATAGACCTAGGTATCTATGTGTCACAGCATCCACCTAACATTAGGTGGATTGTGTGTTTATTTGTTATCATAATTTCTTGAAGATGGCCGTGGTAAGTGGGTGTTGCTATGGTTACAATGGATGCTATCACCTCTAAAAAAAATGTATACTAGTACGTTGGTTGAGGTTGGTGTTGGCTTACCTCGGACTCGATGAAGAACTGCACGAGGTCGCGCAGCAGCGGCGTGTTGGGCAGGCGCTGCTTGCCGCGGCGCGAGCGCGTGGCAGGCGTGGCAGCGCCGGCAGCCGACTCGTCGGCGCGGAACAGCCGCACGTTGAGGAACTCGCCCGCCGCCGCCGCCACGGCGCGCCACGACGAGTACACCAGCTCGTACACGTTCTCGCAGTCCTTGTCCGTCAGCACGTCCGGGTGCATCCTGCACCACAGTACCCCACCTTACTTACACTTCTACATCTATACATTCACTAAGCTATAAAATATATCTTAGCTGCTCGCTAAATATTAAACACAAGGTATTTCACATTATTTATTAATAATTTCTTTTCTTTTTTATTTATCATCCTTTGTTTAATACTACTAAATATTAGTGTAAATACTAATATTTCCTTTAACTACTCATAAGCTTAATGCTTATGTTAAATGATTCACCACAGTAATGAGGGCATCCACGACTTTTTCTGCCAACAAAACGGCGCCACTTAAAAGTGAGGTATAATATTTAACAGATTTCACATCGGGGAAGTTAATTTGTTCGGAAAATGTAAACGTTACTGTTTCTTTCTGTACTATTAGCTATATTTTGTAGTAATAAGATTATAAATAAATAAACCAAACCACAAATATTCATAAAAGTAAAATTTCCAAAAAAGTTAAATAAGTGCAAAAAATTAAAGAGCATAGGGCATTGTTTTCTGTATTAATATAACAATCTAGAAACAGACAAACTTTTTTTAAAAACTAACTTCTCAATTAAATGATATTCCATAACAAAAAAAACTTTAACTCAATGTCAACTAGCGACATCTGGTGAGCAGAAAATTGTTATAATTAATATAATCAAGCGTTACTTTGCAGAAATCCATAATATAAAAGCTTTTAGAAAAATGTACTTCGCAAATATCCGCGTTATAAAATAAAATGATGTGTCTTACCTAGTATGAAGAGCACCTTCCGCCCTCCCTCAATTGCGTGCACTATCCCCGTCACCACTAATCCCAGCACCGCTACTCCCAACACCACTACACTAGACAAAACGCACCACTGACGATAATACGACACGTGTTTCGCCTCTACACAAGGCATCCTCAGGTGATATAGACTCTACGATGGCTAACCGCTAAGTGACTTAGCAGTTAGTCACCGTAGAGTGTTATCGTCAGTGGTGTGTTTTGCCTAGTGTAGTGGTGTGTTTTGCCTAGTGTAGTGGTGTTGGGAGTAGTGGTGCTGGGATTAGTGATGACGGGGATAGTGCACGCAATTGAGAGAGGACGGGAGGTGCTCTTCATACTCGGTAAGACACATTATTTTATTTTATAACGCGGATATTTGCGAAGTAAATTTTTCTAAAAGCTTTTAGAAAATTATTAGCCCTCATTGAGTGACGGATTCGAACCCACAAACTTTTGAATTCACAGTCCACACCATATCATTAGGCTACTACTTGCTTCAATTAAACAACAGTAGTCTATACTAGTACAAACTGCAAACTCAGACAACTACTGTAATGAAACACCCCTAATAACATAGATATTTTAAACTTCCTTGAGGTATTCAACAAGGGTATTAGAAACATTAACTATTACCTAGTATTCTTTCAAAATGATTAAAAAAAAACTATCAAATATCTTTTATAGTTTTTTTTTTCATCATTTTGATATTGTTGCACACCCCAATGTAATTATAAACTACAAGGCTTTTTCTTTATTTTCTTATTTCTTATATGTATACATTATACTAACATACACTTAATGATATAGAGAACATTTAAGACCCTAGTTTTCCCAACAATATTTCACTGTTTGATAACTCTCTTGAGCCTCATTTGCAAGTTCAAGAAATGCAGTCATACCTTGTAATGACAATTGTAAGCATATCCACTATCCGATATCAACCAGTGGGTGTCATAAGAGACGACATAGGAAAACAAATCGAGAAAAGGTCAGCAGTGTCTACCTAATAAAAACTGAAAATAAAAACTCCTTGCCAAACATGGCAACTACAGCGAATGTCCCCCCTATGAGGCAATCTATGAGGGAGGCCTATGTTTATCAATTGACTTTAATAGGCTGTAACAGTAAGGAATGTAGTTGCATACAGCAGGGTGGAAGTTGTTATATCCAGCAACCACATTTGATTACCGTAAACAGTATATATTAAACATTGAACATGATTGTAAGTTGTTTTTTTTAAATCCCACTGGTGTATCTTGCTCGTTCTTCCCAGGCCAGAGGTTTTTTTTCTTAACCAGTGGTAATTAAACATAAAAGTGATTTTCAATAAGTATTATTTATAATCTACATTAAATAAATAGTTTCTGTTTCTAATGTTTTCTAAATTTTAACTATTTAAAAGAACTTACTTTAGAATAGCTATGACAAGTTTAACAGCATGCACTGCAACCTCGGTCTCTTTATCCAGTGTCATGGACACAATACGGTCCTTGAACTTGGAAGTGAACAGCTCCAGCTTGCCTTTCAGCTCCTCACATTCATACAACGGCTGTAATGCTTGCAGACAGCGTAACCGGACTTCTCCTACCTACATTTGCAATTTTAAGAAAAGTTAGCTTTGCCAAAATAATAAAAATAAATTACTCTAATTGCTAGTTCAAATACATTATTAATTTAAGGACAATTGCCACACTCAAAGTTGCTTAATGAACCATTATTTCTAAAATCTTTACATTTAAACTAGTTATTGACACATGAAGTGATTGAATGCATCAGTAACTAGCATTTACCTGATATGTATAATATTCCTTGAATATTCTAACTACCCATTCCTAAGAGTATATGCATGAAACAGTTCTCACCTTGTCGTGCAAGGTCCAGCCAATGTATTTGAGGTAGAGATCATCAAGGAAGTGTGCAGGAAACTTTTCCATCCAGATGCCTATCTCAGCCATTGTAATTGCTCGGATGTCTGGCAATGTGTCTCTGAAAAATAATAAATATCTAATTATATGGGTTTCATTAATATATCAATATAAATATAAGATTGTGTATAGCTGAATGCCAATGCAAAGTGTACGTCATACGTACAAGAGATCCAGTTATGGGTCATGTTTAATTTTAGAATACCATGGTTGTAATTTATTATGTAGGTGAATATTTATATTTGGCATTATCAGTAACTACATGACAATATATCAATAACAATAGTATCACATTACTTAAGTAACGTAATAGGCATTTTTACTTATTATGATAATAAATCAACATGGTGAGGTAACAGCGTTGTGGTCAATATATAATATCTTACAATAATATATTGACTATATTTTACTAGGTAACACAACTCCATTTCTGCATAGGAATGGATAGGTACCACCTCTTACCTATTCTGTCCCAAAAGGCAGGGCCTGCACTGATGTGATCTGGTCTGAAGCATATAGAGATCCAGTATGATTACACACTGTAATTCATTCCATTTTAGACCTTAGAAACACAAACGCTACAGATACCCTTCTTTGTTTAAACTTGGTTGCAGATTTCCATAAATTTTTTGATAATATTTTTGACAACTTTTTGTAAGGCAAAACAAGAATGGTATATATAGACTAAATATAAAAGTAAATAATGTGTAGAGATACCCACCTGTATCTGTGCACAAAAACAGACTTAAACATATATGAGAGCATGTTCTTGATTTCCTCCATATTCTCCTCAAGCTCCTGCCGCTTGGCGACAAGCACTTCGAGCCGCTCACTAGCACGCTTGTCGCGAGCTTTCAATCGCTCAGCTTCATACTGCCGCAAGCAATTATCACAATTCACGCTTGTCAAAAGTGCCACATCCACCAGCGCCGTCATCAGTTTCATTACTGACAAAACAAATATTTTAAAATCATTAAAAATCTAATAATTTTTTTTCTTATGTGGTAGAGCCCTGCTACATTCATATTCATTTATTTGCATAATACAGGTATAAAAGGTGTTACAGAAAATTATAATATGTACTATATAAAATTATAATATGTATTATATTAGTAGTATAGTTGTAACGTGAATAGATTGGCTCGACCGGGGAAGGACCAGACTCTCACAGAAAACCAGCGTAAAATAGCAGCTTAACACTACCTTATGTTTTGTATGTGAATGTAGAGAATCAGAGACCCTTTTTAATGGAAAGAGGCATTCCGTCTTAGTCCCCACGGGTGACAACGCAACTGCATTTTCATTTGTAATCAAGGATAGATATAGATGTCTGTAAGACCTCAGTAAACAACCCTTATTCTATAAAAAAATCAAATGAAGTTTTAGTTCATTCAATACACACATGCTGGTCACCATCGTGGTGCTTCATGGTTATTAACAATTATTTAAAATATGTACAGATATATAATAATTTGTCACTGTGTGCCAGATCTCTTTCCAGTTGTCAGATTGCCTTCACATATGACTATGAGAGTAAGGGAATAAAAAGTGCACCTACACACAAACACTCATACAATATAATCCTGCCCTGTGCAGATGGCTAAGACTGTTTGGTGTGACAGAATATAATAATTTGTCACTGCGTGCCAGATCTCTTTCCAGTTGTCAGATTGCCTTCCCATATGACTATGAGAGTAAGGGAATAAAAAGTGTACCTACACACAAACACTCATGCAATATAATCCTGCCCTGTGCAGATGGCTAAGACTGGTTGGTGTGACAGAATATAATAATTTGTCACTGCGTGCCAGATCTCTTTCCAGTTGTCAGATTGCCTTCCCATATGACTATGAGAGTAAGGCAATAAAAAGTGCACCTACACACAAACACTCATGCAATATAATCCTGCCCTGTGCAGATGGCTAAGACTGGTTGGTGTGACAGAATATAATAATTTGTCACTGCGTGCCAGATCTCTTTCCAGTTGTCAGATTGCCTTCCCATATGACTATGAGAGTAAGGGAATAAAAAGTGCACCTACACACAAACACTCATACAATATAATCCTGCCCTGTGCAGATGGCTAAGACTGGTTGGTGTGACAGAATATAATAATTTGTCACTGCGTGCCAGATCTCTTTCCAGTTGTCAGATTGCCTTCCCATATGACTATGAGAGTAAGGGAATAAAAAGTGCACCTACACACATAATCCTGCCCTGTGCAGATGGCTAAGACTGGTTGGTGTGATTTAATTTGTAAAAAATTTCTCGCAATTAAAAGGAATTCATCATGACAATTAATTCTGTTGGGCATTCATTATGTTTCCCAATTTGGTATTATTAGAAAATGTTTGGAATAGGAGTTTGTGAACTAAAAAATAAAAATGATTTGTATAATTTGTGACCTGGCAAATGTTATTATGTGGATAAGCTAAATCTTACAGTTACAAAGTCCTAATAAATAAAATAATAATAAAATTAATAAACCATAATGTAACAAAATTACCTGCTAAGGTTGCAGTATGCCTGAATGCTCTCACTTGAGAATCAGACAGCCCAGTTAGTAATGATATAATGTTGTCCATGAGGTACTGATCATATATGATTGAATATTGACACATCTTCACCAGGGTCTGTATAAATTCACAGAAATTGGAACGGAACTTCTTCCATGTTTGACCACTCATAATTAAAGGATATTCACCACTTTCCTAAAAATTGTAAAAATAGAAAAACATTAGAAGCAATAAAATCTATCAGATAATACTGAGATAATGCAAAATTTCTTTAAAATTTAACTTATTATAAGGTTCTACAACATACCTCATCAAACTCTTGAGTCATTTTCTTAATTATAAGTGTGTGGTCCATGGATGCCATATCCGGAGTTACCTTACCGCGGCAACCAGAGGAATTGATGAAAAATTGCATCAACTGGACTAAAGCACTTTCCCTATTACTCTTGTATTCTTCTATCCACATATCTACAACTTGCTGCAATGAGGCAATAAAGTATTTTGTTCAAACTATTTTCATAAAGTAAATATAACATAGTTATCAAAAGTAAAAGTAAAGTAACGGCCTATATACGTCCCACTGCTGGACACAGGTCTCCTCTCACTTTTGAGGGTTTCAGGGCAAGGAAGTGTCCATCGCGCTGCCCCAATGCGTGTTGGCGGACTTCACATGTTTTCCAAATATATTTTTTTTATTTCTCTGACATGCAGGTTTCCTCAAGATGTTTTCCTTCACCGTATGGCATGTGGTTAATCCGCACAATGCTACTTAATTACATAAATGCTGCTCATTTGCATACTCATACTTGCTTATCATTAATAATTAATAATGTTAGTTAGTCGAATTAATCAATAATTTATCATTAGCAATGCTACTTGGCACAATCAACAATATGATTTAATGTGAATAGTGTGAATGTTTCCTGTATTAACCAATTGTTGAATCGCGTTTGTACAGGTGAGGTTGTCTCCTTCAAGATAAAATGCCTGAATGGTGTGAAGAATATTCGAACCAAATTTTTTTGTCCTCAGAGTTTAAATGAGACTGACAAATTTATTCGCAGACGCGTTGGACACGATTATAGTAGGTTGTCAAAATTGTAAATCGATCGGCATTAATTTAACCTTGAAATTTTTTATTTTAATTTGCGATTTGGTTATGTTGTTTGGTTTTTATTTGCTCTTAAAGTCACTAGGCAGTTCGCTAAATAAACACCATTGCAATCAGTTTGATCTAGTATGAATGCATCCTTAAGGTGACACAACTCGGACGGGTCATTTGACTCTGAGCATTCGATAACAGTTTCACTACGCGCCAGTATAATGTATGTAAGTTCCGAAAAGTGGATAGGCACAGATATAAAGTGAATAAGTATGATAATCTATATTTACTTTAAAATGACTTAGGAAGTTGCTTCCTATAATTCCGTCATAATCAATATTAATAACGTCAAATGTGACATGAAATCTGTAATTTATGTAAAAATTATCTAAAATAAAATCTAACAGTTTCCTAATGTTTCCTTACAAGATTGAGTGATGTTTATAAACCTTGAGTTTTATGATTTCATTGGAGAGCGTAAAGTGTCCCTTTACACTCGATTGACATTTTTTCTAATAGACACTTGCACCTGTATATAATAATCAGTGCAGTCGCTTCAGAATGATGTGGCGGCTCTAATGCCGAACCTACAATATTTTCGTAGCATAAGCGAATAATTATAAGTGTGTATCCACTGCGCGAAAATAATTCGAAATGGCGTGTCAACCTAAACGCTCCGATACCGTCGTAATCCACGAGTTCCTGGTCTTCGTTTAACAAAATTGGACGTCATGGGCCAGGTGTCTCTGGAACAGATACGGATGACTAGGTTCACCAAGGACGAGATCATCCAAGCGAAGAAGGTGTTATCAGATTCTGCCGTTACCCAAATCCGTCTTATCACACGTCATAGGGATGGACGCGGCAAGAAAGACCTGCAAAACATCTTCAGGCTGTTCATTGAGACCGACCCTAATGACGTCCAAACATTCGTCGCGCGTGATCTAAACAAGCTGCCTCCCGTGACGTTCAATCACGTAGACGTGACTAGATTGTTGAAAGACGTCACCACGTTGAAAGCCAAAGTCGTTTCAAATTTGAAGAATCTGAGCGAGCCGCAACAGAGCTGAGGAACGAAGTCACTATGTTGCGCAACATAATTCAAGGCCCAATCCCCCCCCCCCCTCCCCATCAACATGGTAGTGTAACCAACACTCCTGGAGAATCCCTCGCTGAGCATCCACGACCATGTTATTCCACTCCTGAGCGTGGGTGCTCAGGCTGCCCGGCGTATTCAGGGGGGGGGGGGGGGGGGGCCAAAATTCCGCTCAAAAACATAACTGCTCGGGGCACACTGAGCAACAATACCAAGGCGACCCCTGCCACGCTATCCGTGGATTTCTGCAACATCAGGGACTTCACTCGAACCTAAACGCCGTTCACTACCATCTCGAGACGGCGAAGTCGGCCTTGCTCTTTCTGACCGAGACGCAAGTGTCCTCTCCGGCTGATACTTCGTATCTCTCCTACCCGGGATACAAATTGGAGCACTCATTTGTGTCTCTGGCTGGAGTTTGCGTTTATGTCAGAGAGGACATCTGTTCTCGACGCCTCGGCAGTCTTGAAGGTTCGGACCTGTCCATCCTTTGGCTACGCATAGACAGCGACGACCATCCGCGCGTCTACGGGTGCCTCTATAGGTCCCATAGCGGTAATGCCGAAACAGACCGACTCATCGACCACTTCCGAATGGCTACAGATTCCTTGCTACAACAGGTCCCATCCGCAGAGATCGTGATCCTTGGCGATTTTAACGCCCACCACGCCGAATGGCTCGATTCACGTTTAACCGATCATGCAGGGAGATCTGTTTATGACTTTGCCTTTGCATATGGTCTGACACAACTGGTTACTTCGCCTACGCGGATTCCAGATGTGGAGGATCATACACCTTCCCTGTTGGACCTTCTGCTGCCCTCACATCCGGACGGATATCAGGTTTCCGTCGATGCCCCTCTCGGCTCTTCCGACCATTGTCTGATCCGGAGTGTGGTGCCACTCATGCTCCTCTCGCGGTTGCGTTCTACAGGTTGCCGCCGTGTTTGGCATTACAGGTCGGCGGATTGGGACGGAATGCGGTCTTTCTTTGCATCCTACCCATGGGGGCGGGTTTGCTTCTCGCCGGATGATCCCAGCGCTGTTGCTGACTCTGTCACTGATGTGGTGCTACAGGGAATGGAACTATTTATTCCAACATCTGTGGTACCCATCGGAGGCAGATCTCAGCCTTGGTTTGGTCGCTCCTGTAAGACTGCATTACGCAGTAAGCAGGAGTGTTATCAAGCCTGGGCTGCGGCTTCGGCGACTCGGGATGTAAACACCAGCACACTTCTGTAAGCCATCACTACCATCTCTGCACAGGGAGGACGACTCACTGGCCCAAGCCGCAAAAGACAAAGCCGACCTTTTAGGCTCCCTTTTTGCGTCCAACTCTACTCTTGATGACGGGGGGGAAACACAGCCAACCATCCCGCGGTGTGAGTGCTCCATGCCGGATGTGCTGTTCTCACAGCGCTCGGTTCGCAAAGCACTCCTCTCCCTGGACATCCAGAAGTCGAGTGGGCCTGACGGAATCCCCCCAATTGTGCTGAGGACGTGTGCTCCGGAGTTGGCACCGGTCCTAACGCGTCTTTTCCGCTACTCCTACTCCCAAGGCGTAGTCCCGAATTCATGGAAGACAGCTTTTGTCCATCCGATCCCTAAAAAAGGCGACCACTCAGACACGTCCCACTACAGGCCTATCGCCATCACCTCCTTGTTCTCCAAAATAATGGAATCCATTATTAACTGCCAGCTCATGCGGTACCTTGAGGATCACCAGCTGATTAGCGACCGCCAATACGGTTTTCGGCGGGGTCGATCAGCTGGTGATCTTCTGGTCTACCTGACCCATAGATGGGCGGAGGCAGTAGAGCCCAAGGGGGAGGCGTTGGCCGTTAGTTTGGACATTGCGAAGGCCTTCGATAGGGTTTGGCACAAAGCGCTTCTTTCGAACCTCCCTTCCTATGGGCTTCCCGAGAAATTGTGCAATTGGATCACCAGCTTCCTTGCAGAACGGAGCATCAAGGTCGTTGTAGACGGTGCATGCTCCGACTACAAACCTATTAACGCTGGTGTTCCACAAGGCTGTGTGCTATCACCAACGCTGTTTCTTCTGCATATCAATGATATGTTGCTAACTGGTAACATTCATTGCTATGCGGATAACAGCACTGGTGATGCTTTTTACACCGGCCGTGCCTATATTTCTCGGGAAAACGTCGCTGAATACCGGAACAAACTTGTGTCTGAAGTCTCTTTGCTGAACAAAGTCTCGGATTGGGGGCGACTAAATTTAGTCAATTTAATCGTCAGAAGACACAAGTTTGAGCGTTTACCGCTAAAAAGAACCCCTTTGCCGTATTTCCTCAGTTTCAAGGCACTCCCCTTCTTGCCTCAGCCAGTATCGGAATCCTCGGAGTCGACATATCGAGTGACGTGCAGTTTCATGGTCACTTGGAAGGGAAGGCCAAATTGGCCTCTAAAAAGCTTGGCGTGCTCAGCAGAGCGGGACAGTATTTCATGCCAGCACACCGCCTGCAACTTTACAAGGCGCAGGTTCGGCCTCACATGGAATACTGTTCCCATCTCTGGGCAGGGGCTCCCCAGTGCCAGCTCCTTCCACTTGACCGCATCCAGTGCAGAGCGGCTCGAATCGTCGACGACCGAGTCCTTTCCGATCGGCTAGATTCATTGGCACAGCGAAGAGATGTTGCATCCCTTTGCATTTTCTTTCGCACCTACCACGGGGAGTGCTCTGAGGAATTGTTCGGATTAATCCCAGCCGCCAAATTTCACGAACGCACATCGCGGCAGAACTCCCGATACCATCCACACCATGTGGATGATTGGCGGTCCACCACTGTGCGATTGATTTAGAAGATGTTTTCTTCCTCGCACGACTTCCTTGTGGAATCGATTACCATAAGCGATTTTTCCGGACCGATACGACTTAGGGACCTTCAAGAATAGAGCCTATTCCTTTTTAAAAGGCCGGCAACGTATCTGCAATTCCCCTGGTGTTGCGGTTGTTCATGGGCGGCGGTAGTCACTTACCATCAGGTGAGCGGCATGCTCGTTTGCCCCCTCTCCTATAAAAAAAAAACACATAATTGCAACATCTGCGAATTCACCGCTGTCGCAGAATGTAGATATGCGGTAACCGTAATAGTAGTCACATTTCACCGATAATTGCAACTGCATCACGCGATACCGTCTGTCAGCGGGTTGATGACCGTGAAACTAAGGCAACCTCGGTCATCATTGCATCAACACCTCAGCCCTTGACTGAACCCATGAGTACTCCTACGTCGAAGCCAACCTCACAAAAAGGGATG